ACACATGGTATATGTTTTTAGCATTTGTATCCTGACAAACAGGTTTAATTCAAGGATTACCTCCTCTTGAAGCCTTTCCTAATTCTTTCCCTCTTACCTCCCAAAATTGGCCACTTTTTGCTACATTATATGGCTCTACTTATTTATAGTCTATCTCACTGTAGAAAACTATAAGCTTCATGAGAATATGGCCTGTATCTTACCTGATTTTGTAATTGGTAATGCCTAGCACGTAGAAGACACTGAGAAATTATGAGTACAAAATTGAATGAACAGTATATTAAAGAATATTGTAGCACAATTAAGGCATGGATTGAAAACTTAGGCCTTTAGGGTCCAGGAGTCCAGAGTTAAGCAGATCTGGGGACTGTGGTAACCTGGAGAACACATGCCTATATCAAGGGAGCAGCTGCTACTCAGCTGCATTGTTGGTGTTTTGTGGAAATGCTGATCCTATGTTAGCATATCTTTTTTGTTGTTGTTCTTTTGAGTTACACATGACAGTAGAGTCTATTTTTATATATTTATACAAGCATGGAATATATCTTATTCTAATTAGGATCCCAATTTTGTGGATATACACAATGAAAAGATTCACTGTGGTGTATTCATATATATGCATAGGAAAGTTATTTCAGATTAATTCTACTCTCTTTCCTATTCTTGTCCCCTTCCCTTACCTTCATTTCCTTTTTTTTTTAAGAGAGAGTGAGAGAGGAGAGAGAGAGATAGAGAGAGAGAATTTTTTTTTTAATATTTATTTTTTTTTTAGTTCTTGGCGGACACAACATCTTTGTTGGTATGTGGTGCTGAGGATCGAACCCGGGCCGCACGCAAGCCAGGCGAGCGCGCTACCGCTTGAGCCACATCCCAGCCCCATCCTTCATTTCCTTTTGTCTAACCCACTCAACTTCTATTCTTCCCCTCCCTGCCCTTCTTGTGGTTAGCATCCACATATCAGTGAAAATTCAACCTTTTCTTTTGGGCTATTGGCTTATTTCATATAATGTGATAGTCTCCAGATCCATCCATTTACTGGCGAATGTCATAAAGTTGTTTTTCTTTATGGTTGAGTAATATTCCTATGAGATAGATTGATAAATAGATAGATAGATCACATTTTCTTTATCCATTCCTCTGTTGATGGACATCTAGGTTGGTTCCATAGCTTAACTATTGTGAATTGTGCTGCTGTAAACATTGATGTGGATGCATCACTGTAGTATGCTGATTTTAAATCCTTTGGGTATAAGCCAAGGAGTGGAATAGCTGAGTCAAATGGTGGTTCCATTTCTAGTTTTTGAGGAATCTCCACACTGCTTTCCAGGATGATTGCACTAATTTGCCATCCCACCAACAGTATATAAGTGTACCCCTCTCCACATCCTCACCAACATTTCTCATTACTTGTATTCTTTTTTGATACCAGGAATTGAACCTAGAAGTGCTTAACCACTGAACCACATCCCAGCCCTTTTTTATATTTTATTTAGAGACAGGGTCTTGCTGAGTTGCTTAGGGCCTTGATAAGTTGCTGAGGCTGGCTTTGAACTCAAAATCCTCTGGCTTCAGACTCTCACTCAAGAGCAGACTAAGTTGGTTAAAATTCTTTAGTAGACAATATAAAACATGATTTTTTATTTGCTCTTTTTAGATACACATGACAGTGGAGTGTATTTTGAGATATTATACATACATGGAGTATAACTTATTCTAATCAGGATCCCATTCCATCTGTTTGGTTCCTTTGCCCATTTATTGATTGGGTTTTGGGGTTTTTTGTGATTTCTTTTGGTATTAAGCTTTCTGAATTCTTTGTGTATCCTGGAAATTAATGCCTTATCTCAGGAGAGGGTGGCAAAGATTTTCTCCCCTTCTGTAGACTCTCTTCATCCTCTTGATTGTTTCTTTTGCTGTGAAGAAGTTTTTTAGTTTGAAACCACCCCATTTATTTATTTTTGGTTTTACTTTTTAAAAATATATTTATTTTTTAGTTGTAGATGGACACAATACCTTTATTTTATTTATTTATTTTTATGTGGTGCTGAGGATCAAACCCAGGCCTCACGTGTGCTAGGTAAGTGTTCTACCACTGAGCCACAACCCCAGCCCTTGGTTTTACTTCTTACACTTGAAGAGTCTTTTTAGGGAAGTCAGTTCCTGAGCTGACATGTTGTAGTATTTGGCTTAAATTTTCTTCTAGTAGGTACAGGGTTTCTGGTCCAATACCTAGGTCTTGGATCCACTTTGAGTTGAGGTTTTCACAGGATGAGAGGGATTAAATTAGATTTTACTACATACGGATTTCAGTTTTCCCAGCATCATTTCTTGAAGAGGCTATCTTTTCTCCAGTGTATATTTATGGCACCTTTGAGATAATTGTATTTATGTGGGTTTCTCTCTGAGTCCTCTGTTCTATTCCATTGGTGGTCTTGCCTGTTTTGGTACCAGTACTATGCTGTTTTTGTTATTGTAGCTCTGAAGTAATAATTTAAGGTATGGGATTGTGATTCCTCCTGCTCCAATATTCTCTCTAAGGATTGCTTTGGCTATTTTGGGCCTCTTATTTTTCCAAATGAATTTCATGACTGCTCTATTTCTATGAATAGGAATTGCATTAAATCTGTATAGTGCTTTTGGTAGTATGGCCATTTTGACGGTATTAATTCTGCCTGCAAGAACATGGGAGATCTTTCCATCATCTAAGGTTTCTTATTTCTTTTCTTAGTGTTCTGTAGTTTTCATTGTAAAAGTCTTTTATGTGGGTTTCTCTCTGAGTCCTCTGTTCTATTTCATTTTGTTTGTTTGTTTGTTTGTTTGATTTTTGGGTTTTGTGGGGTTGTTTTTTGTTTTTTTTTTTGTTGTTTTTTTTTTGAGGCTATTTTGAATGGGATTGTTTCCTTAATTTCTCTTTCAATTGATTTATCATTAGTGTATAGGAACACGATTGATTTATGGGTGTTAATTTTGTTTGTTGCTACTTTGCTGAATTCATTTGTGAGTTCTAGAAGTTTTCTGGTAGAGTTTTTGGGTCTTCTAAACATAGGATCAATGTTGTTGGTAAATAGAAATAGTTTGATTTCTTCTTTTACTGTTTGTATCCCTTTAATTTCTTTCTTTTGCCTAATTGTTCTGGCTAGAGTTTATGATTAGTAGAAGTGGTGAAAGAGGGCATCCCTGTCTTGTTCCCAGTTTTTAGAGTGAATGCTTCCGGTTTTTCTCTGTTTAGAATGATGTTGGCCCTGGGTTTGTTGTATATAGCTTTTTCTATCCTGAGGTATGTTTCCTCTATCCCTGGTTTTTTAGTGTTTTAATCATGAATGGGTGCTGTGTTTTGTCAGATGCTTTCTCTATATGTTGGCACATTTTTTAAGAGAAGCCAGACACCTGGGATTTTATGTGAAATCTCCCAATTGTTACCCAAGTAATTTTTTAAAGCTTTTCATTGAGATATAACTTATGTATAGAAACATGTATGTTATAGGTGTATGACTCAATCCATTTTTACAAAACTGAATTAATTTTTTTGTATGGGCCAAATAGACTGGGTTGACTTGTAAGCTCAGGTTATTTGGAGAACTCTATGATTTAGTTAAGAATTAATTTGGACTGGGGTTGTGGCTCAATGGTAGAACACTTTCCTAGCATGTGTGAGGCACTGGATTCAAACTTCAACATCACATAAAAGTAATAAAAGAAAAGTATTGTATCCATCTACAACTAAAAATATTTAAACAAAATAATTCACTTATAGGAAGTACCTTTGAGGAGATACATCATCAAAATGCAATGTATAGACATTGTTTGGGTTGTGATTCAAAGATAACAAATGTAA